AATCCCCTGGGTTTCTGATACAGTCTTTTATTTTTCCTCCCAGCCAAATTTCTGATGTGCAATTAGGATCAATAATCCTGAAATCTTCCGGGAGATGGAACTGGTGGTAAATTCAATGAGCTTGAGTCCATTGAATTTTCACTATCCTTCACTCTAAATCTTTGTTCAGATGTTCTCATCATATGGAATAACTTTGTGAAAAATAAGTAAGACATCTGGTATATTCACAGATGGTCAAGCTAACAGAAAACAACAGGAAAGAAAAGAAAATCTGTTGCCAAAACATTTGTGTGCTTCTATGAGGACATAACGCTGTTTGTGGTATAACAGAAATGAATCAACATCAAACTGTCACCAGGTGACCAGCTGTCCCCCTGAGGGAATAGTGACTCAGCCTTGGCCTCTGTTCCTTGGCAAATTGGGCACAAAGCAGTAGTAGTAGCCAAATCAGCTTTGACGACACAAAGTCCACATTGCTAAGATGAGGCATAACTCAATCCCTACTACCAAAGCCTCTTTACACAGGCTCATTGAGCAGAAGAAGCTTCCATAGCATGGTTCATCATATGAGTCATCTTTTCATTGTAATGGAGAATCTCCTTTGCAATGGACATAAGGATGTTTTATCTGCATGTATTGGAAAGGTACACTATACACCTTGTATCACAAATATTTTAATCTGGTTATTTTCAGGTCCTTGACCCTGAAACAGGATTAGGTCCATTGTCTTGTGAAAGGAAAGACAATCTTTTGTTTCACACAAAGTGGACAATCAGATGGTGGAATTTTCCCTCATCACTGTCTTTTGGGGGCGGCGCCATAGTGGGCTGTAGTGTGGTGGCCATACATTTTTGCCTGCTGTCAACCTACCATACAAATCTATAGCAAACCAAGACACTCTATGTTTTTAAACTTGTCTTGGGGAGCTTTCCTGGAGGCCATAGAGGTATCTTGAGAAAGAGATTAAAAAGTGGTGAATAGGTACTATGAAAATGTGAGCTCCCTGCTTCTGGAGTTTACTAGTGACTTCTGAATCTGCTTGAACCTAGTCTTATATATACTGTTTCCTTTCTGTTGTTGTTGCTTTTGGTCGCCCTCTGTCACCCAAGCTGGAGCGCCATGTTGGCACAGTTGGTCTTGAACTCATGGCCTCAGGTGATCTGCCCACCTCGACCTCCCAAAGTGCTGGGATTACAGGTATGAGGCACCGCCCCAGGCTACTGTTTCCATTTGACAGTGCAATTCTCTTATATATATTTAAAGTGTACATGATGTTTTGATATAGTTATATACAGTGCAATAATTAAACTAATTAACATATCCATCACTTCACATTGTTTTTGTATGTGACAAGAGTATTTACAATCTACTGTTTTAGCAAATTTCAAGAATAAAATACAGTATTAATAATTATAGTCATGCTATTGCACATAAGATCTCCAGAATTTATTAGCAATATGAGTTTAAAATTATAATTTTTACTCTAATTACATCTCTATCTACATGCCAAGTATTGATGATTAGCATTTTTCTTATTATTAATATATTTTCTAATTTTCACTATGAGTTATTTTTTGATGCATATGTTACTTAGAAGTACATTTGTTTTAAATTTCCAAATTTATGGTTTTGTTTTTATCATCAAACTTAATTGATTTACTGGCTTTTATTTAAACTTTTAATTTTTAGATAATTGTGGATTCTCATGCAGTTGTAAGAAAAATACAGAGAGATCTCATTTTCCCGCAATGTTAGCATGTATGCAGAGTACAGTTTCACAACCACTATATTGACATAGATTTATCAAGATATATAACAATTTTCTCACAAGGATCCCTCATGTTTTCCTCTTATAACCACATCCACTTTTCTCCTCTACCTCTATCCCTGTCTACCCCATCTTTAAACCCTGGCAACTACTAATTTGTTTTTCACTTGTATAATTTTCTCAATTATAACTATTGCAAATTGCAACCATTTCCATTTTCTATTTCACTCAGCAATTCCCTGGAGATCCATTTGAAATGTTGCATGTATCAACAGTTTGTTTCTTTTTATTGCTGTGTAGTATTCTATGGTATGGATGTACCAAATTTGTTTAAACATTCTCTGTTGAAGGATTAGATTATTTATAGTTTTTCACTATTATCAATAAAGTTGCTATGAACATTTATATACAGGTTTTGGTGTAAATATACGTTTTCATTTCTTTGGGAAAATCAGAATGGCAATTTTTGGATCATATGATAGTTGCACACTAAATTTTTAAACCAATGACCAAATGAGTTTCCAGAGCAGCTTTATCATTCTATATCCTACCAGCAATGTATGAGAAATCCAGTTTTTCTGCCGTCTTGCCAGAGTTTGATGTTTCATTGTTTTTCTTTTTTTAATGTTAGCCATTCTCATAGGTGTGTAGTGATATGTCACTGCAGTTTTAATTTGCATTTCCCTAATGGCCAGTAGTGTCAAACATCTTTTATTGTTTTATGTTCCGGTTCTTTCATTTATTCATTTTTTAAATTGAGAAATAAAATTATATATATTTATTGTGTATATGATGTTTTGAAATAGACATACATTTTAGAATAGCTTAATTAAGCTAATTAACCTAATTAATATATTATCTCACATTCTTGTCAGTTTTTGTGGTGACAATACCTAAAATCTACTCTCAGCAGTTTTTAAGAATGTAATACATTGTTTTTAACTGTAGAAACGTGTTATACAATAGGCATTTTGTACTTATCCTCCTGTCTAACTGAAACTCTATGTTCTTTAACATCTCCCCAGCCCTGCTCAGCCCCTCATCCTCCAGGTCCTGGTAACCAACAGCCTACTCCCTGGACATCCATTGAATTTATTTTTTTTTATCTGTGTATCTTCTTTTTTTTTTCCCATTTATTTATTTTATTGCATTTTAGGTTTTGGGGTACATGTGAAGAACATGCAAAATTGTTGCATAGGAACACACGTGGCAGTGTGATTTGCTGCCTTCCTCCCCATCACCTACATCTGGCATTTCTCCCCTTGCTATCTCTCCCCAGCTTCCCACCCCCCAGCATCCCTCCCCTATTTCCCCCCAACTGACCCCAGTGTGTAGTGCTCCCCTCCCTGTGTCCATGTGCTCTCATCGTTCAACACCCGCCTATGCCATCTGATCTTTGACAAACCAGACAAAAACAAGCAATGGGGAAAGGATTCCCTGTTCAATAAATGGTGTTGGGAAAGCTGGCTAGCCATGTGCAGAAAGCAGAAACTGGACCCCTTCCTGACACCTTACACTAAAATTAACTCCAGATGGATTAAAGACTTAAACATAAGACCTAACACCATAAAAACCCTAGAAGAAAATCTAGGCAAAACCATTCAGGACGTAGGTGTAGGCAAGGACTTCATGACCAAAACACCAAAAGCATTGACAACAAAAGCCAAAATAGACAAATGGGACCTAATCAAACTCCACAGCTTCTGCAGAGCAAAAGAAACAATCATTAGAGTGAATCGGCAACCAACAGATTGGGAAAAAATTTTTGCAGTTTACCCATCTGACAAAGGGCTGATATCCAAAATTTACAAAGGACTAAAGCAGATTTACAAGAAAAAAACTAACAAGCCCATTCAAAAGTGGGCAAAGGATATGAACAGACACTTCTCAAAAGAAGACATACGTGAGGCCAACAAACATATGAAAAAATGCTCATCATCACTGGTCATCAGAGAAATGCAAATCAAAACTACACTGAGATACCATCTCACGCCGGTTAGAATGGCGATCATTAAAAAATCTGGAGACAACAGATGCTGGAGAGGATGTGGAGAAATAGGAACACTTTTGCACTGTTGGTGGGAGTGTAAATTGGTTCAACCATTGTGGAAGACAGTGTGGCGATTCCTCAAGGACCTAGAAATAGAAATTCCATTTGACCCAGCAATCCCATTACTGGGTATATATCCAAAGGATTACAAATCGTTCTACTATAAGGACACATGTACACGAATGTTCATTGCAGCACTGTTTACAATAGCAAAGACCTGGAACCAACCCAAATGCCCATCAACGATAGACTGGATAGGGAAAATGTGGCACATATACACCATGGAATATTATGCAGCCATCAAAAACGATGAGTTTGGGTCCTTTGTGGGGACATGGATGAACCTGGAAACCATCATTCTCAGCAAACTGACAGAGGAGCAGAAGATCAAACACCGCATGTTCTCACTCATAGGCAGGTGTTGAACGATGAGTGTATCTTCTTTAGTAAATGAAATGTCTCTTCATGTCTTTTGCCCATTTTCTAATTGGACTGATTTTTTTTCATTATTGAGTTCTGGGAGACTTTCATATATTTTAGATCATAGTCTTTTGTCAGATACATGGTTTGTAAATATTTTCTCTGTCTTTGTCTTATCTTTTCATCCTCCCAACAGGCCCATTCTTAGAGCAAAAGTTTTCAATTTTATAAAGACCAGTTTAGCAGTTTTTCATATTCTAATGGATTGGGCTTTGTTGTCCAGTCTAATAACTTCTCATCTACTCCTAAATTCAGAAGATGTTTTCAGGAGATTTTTCCCAGAAGTTCCATAGTTGTATATTTTACATTTAGTTTCATAATTAATCTTGAGTTAATTTTGTATAAAATATGAGGTTTAGATTGAGGTTCACTTTTTTTCCCTCTGGATGTCCAATTATTTTAGTACTATTTGTTGAAAAGGTTATTTTTATTTATTTAATTACCTTAGAACACTTGTCAAAAATCAGCAGGGCATATTTTTGTGGATCTATTTCTAGGTTCTCTATTTTACTGCATTGATCTATATGTCAATTATCCCACCAATACCACACATCCTTGATTACTACAGCTATGTAATAACTCTTCAAATTGGGTAGACTGATATCTTCCCTTAATTCTTCCTTTTGTCAGAACTATTCAGGTATTCCCATTTCTATGTCTGTCCATATAAATTTTAGAATAATCATATATATATACATATACATATTTCATTACTTTTGAACAAAAGTAGTATATATACAAAAAATCTTGTGAGAATTTTGAAAAAATGTTTGCAAATTGCATTAAACCTGGATATCAATTTGGGGAGAATTATCATCTTTACTATGTTGAGCCTTTCACTGTATGAACATGATATGTCTTTTCCATTTATTTGTGTCTTCTTTAATTTCTTTCATCAGCATTGTAGTTCTCTGTATACAAGTCATGTATACATTTCGTTAGATGTATACCTAATTACTTCATATCTAATCTTGTATCTGAATTATTTCTTTTGGATTTCTATAGTGTTAGAACAAATCACACCCCTACTTTCTACTGTGTAGACACAGCTATTACAGCTAAGAGAGAAAAGACTTATTTTCCCTATGTTTTAAGTGGAGCATCTAGCACACATTTTCAAAGCACCTGAAAAATGTTTGAATAGCTTTGTTATTGCCTTATAATTTATCATAGTATTCCCTTTTCTCTTGCTATCACTTTGGAAAAAGAAGCTATATTTAATGTTGATTTTCTCAGCTATTGCTTCCACTGATTTGATTTAGCTTGAAACAAAATAGAGTTGTTGAATTGATTGTTTTTTGTTTTTTTTCATTTTAAAGTATGTAAGAAAATTATGATTTAAGAAAATTCCTCTGTGAATCACACATTTTTCCGGAAAATTTTGATAGTTAAATTTCAAAATATCGCCCACATCTTTGAGAGCGGGAAATGACTAACAAAAGAGCTTCATATCTAGGTTAGTCTGTCTACGGAATAAAAGTATACATTTTAATGTTTATAGTTTCAAACATTTTTTACCTGTTAGCTAATGAACATGCGAAAACTGCATAAAACAAACATCCTGATGAAATTCTTTTCATGGAGTTTGCTATTTATTTATTAAGAACAAAACTGCTGTTAATGGTTATTCACTTTTTCTCTCATCCCTATGGCATGTTATAGTCAGATACTGAACATGCAGAAAAAATAATTCTATTCATTGTGAATCCAATTTTCACTCTCAAAGTCCAAATTATCTTCTACCTAAAGTTAGAGACGTGTTAATAGAGATAAAATTCTCAGTAACACTTGACTTTTGAGTAATTAAACATCATAAAAAAGAATCAGTAGTACTTCCCATCACTGGAGGTCCAACTAAAATAATAATAATAATAATAATTTATATATAGTAACACCTTATGTTTTTATCTTAGTATATTTAGGGATAGATAAGGGATAATGTCAAGTTTTTAATCTTCATTTTTAATAAAATGTTTCTAATGAAGTAGACATGGTAAAATTTTCTTTTATAATTTCTTAAATTTTCTCTGATTCTTTAAAATTAGCTAAATCCAAGTTTTCTAAAATTATATTAAAATTGACAGAACAAAATTGCAAAAACTCAATGCACAATTAATTTTTGAAAAATATTCCTTATTAGTTCAAAACTGATTTATCAAAACCTGAAAACTTTAATATTACTGTCAGTAATGTTAGCCAGCCTGGTACAAAAAAAATTGCAACAAAAGTCAAAATTGACAAATGGGCTTTAATTAAACTAATGAGCTTTTACACAACAAAAGAGACTAGCATCAGAGTGCACAGGCAACCTACAGAATTTTGCAGTTTACCCATCTGACAAAGGTGTAATATCCAGAGTCTACAAAGAAAAACAAATTTAATTACTAAAAAAAATAAACAACTTCATCAAAAAGTGAGCAAAGGATATGAACAGACACTTCTCAAAAGAAGATATTTATGTGGCCAACAAACATATGAATGAAAGCTCATCATCACTGGTCATTAGAGAAATGCAAATCAGAACAGCAGTGAGATACCATCTCAAGCCAGTCAGAATGGTATTATTAAAAAGTCAGTAAACAATAGAGGCTATGGAGAAATAGGAATGCTTTATACTGTTGGTGGGAGTGTAAATTAGTTCAACCATTGTGGAAGATAGTGTGGTGATGCCTCAAGAATCTAGAATCAGAAATACCATTAGACTTAGCAATCCCATTACTGGGTATTATTGGGTATATACCCAAAGGATTATAAATCATCCTACTATAAAGACATACACACATGTGTGTTTATTACAGCACTGTTTACAACAGAAAGACTTGGAGTCAACCCAAATGCCTGTCAATGTTAGACTGGATAAAGAAAATGTGGCACATATAGACCATGGAATAGTATGCAGCCATAAAAAAGTGTGTGATCATGTCTTTTGCAGGGACATGGATGAAGTTGGAAGGCATCATTCTCAGCAAACTAACACAGGAACAGAAAACCAAACACTGTATGTTCTCACTCTTAAGTGGTAGTTGAACAATGAGAGCACATGGACACAGGGAGGGGACCAACACACACTGGGGCTTGTCAGGCAGTAGGAGGCAAGGGGAGGGAGAGCATTAGGACAAATATCTAATGTATGCAGGGCTTAAAACCTAGATGACAGGTTGATAGGTGTGGCAAACCACCATCACACATGTGTACCTATGTAACAAACTTGCACATTCTGCACATGTACCCCAGAACTTAAAGTTAAAAAAAAATTCTAGAGTATGCCTTACCAAACATTGGTATTGCAATGATTTCATGACTTGTTTTCTTACATTAAGGAAATAAATGCAATTCATACTTAACAAATAAATCAAAATACCTGATTGATTCTATGAGAATTTTTAAAAGGACAGAAAGGACAAAATCCATTTTTACTTTAAGTAGATTGCTTAAGAGTAGCAAATCAGAGATCTGGTTCTTAATTTTGGGTCTGTTATTTACTGGATATGATTTTTAGCAACTTAAAATTTTCCTATGTATAAAGTACACTAGCTTCATCAAAAGATTATCAAGATCCTTAAATAAGCAGTATATTTAGCTCATAGTAAATGCTTAAAAAGTAAGCAGTATCTATTATTATTGTTGCCACTTTTATGTTAATTTCTGAAATCTGGGCACTTATAAAAGGTGGTAATCAATAAAACCTATGGTGTACACAGGTTTTTTTATTTTTTGGAAGGTAACTATATTTAGAAACAGAAATATTCCAAAATACACCAATTTTAAATATAAAACTTGCTTTATATTCACCAACTGATTAATTAATTAAGAATATGTTGAAAATAACATAATTCCACATGCACATAAATGATGTTAACACTAACATAATTTCAGAATGGCTTCTTCCTCTTTATTTTGCATTTTAATTACTTAATTTACATGTACACAAATATTTTATCCTATTTTGGGGTATCTTATTTTAAAGTTTTGTATGCCTACTTATATTTAAGTTTGTAAAACTTTAATCGAATGTTGTGAGCACATATATCGATATTTTTGGCTCAAGAGTCTGATTTGTTCTGGGACATTAAGAATAACTTCTTTAATGAATGTTACCATTTTGAAAAGTGATCAGAGTAAATTTTCCTTTGAAATGAACACCAAAGGAAACATAGTCTGAAGAGGGAAAGACAACGATTAAATTTCCAGCCCACTGGCCTTTTCTTTTTTTTAACTTTAAAAAGATGTGATTGCCAAGATCTGAAGACGTCGTATTTAAATAGTTTAGTTTCTGTTAATACTCATGAAAATAAAATAGCCTTTGATGACATGGAAATGCTTCTCCATATACCTTGTTTTCCAGACATGTTTACCTAATCTAAATTTTTCCCAAGAAAGAATGTTGAGGCATGGAAATGTTGTCTTGTGTATTATTTCTCATGTCCTTTTCCATTTGGTGTGATTTCTTCAGATTTGGACATTTGACACAGTTCGCATTTGGCAGCTGGAAGTCGTGGGAAGAATTGTTTCCAACTGTTTCTTTTATACGTCATTTTAGCACATGGAGCAGAGGACTCACAGCCTCATGCAATTAAGTCACTGATGTCTATCTTTTTATTTTAATTTTTTTGTTATTCCTTCCATTCTCTCATTTGCCATGTATTGTAGTGGAAAACTTTTTATATACAAAATTTTGCATTGATTTTAAGATCCATAAAGGCTTACTTTCTTTACCAAATTTCAACTTCATATAAAGGATTCTGTTTTGCAGTACAGATTTCTCTTCCGTGTTATAAATTTAATCACCTTGACTTTCGGAGGTCAATGCAGGTGGATCACCTGAGCTCCAGATCAACTGCAAGAACAAACCAGCAATACCAAGAGACCCACAGACCCTCTGAAGGAAGCAGACTGCTCCTGTAGGACCAAGGAGACATCCCAAATACTGTGAATGCCCCAACTGTGGGAGTAAGAAAGGGAGACCCTCTTCTCCTGAATACATATTCCCACTGGAGAAGCTGAACGTCTGTTTACAGAAGAAGTCTCCGACTTTACCTGGTGCTGAGTCAAGTTAGAACCAAGAGAAATATAGGTGTAGAGGAAGCAGCAGAAAAGCCCTGGGAGCTTGCTGGGTCCCCAAGCATCCCATTCTTGCCTGGCACCAAAGGGATCCAACAGGAGAGTGGCCAGAGGAGCAGGGGGTAAAACGCCACAGGGAGAAGGAATGCTGTAGCTGAACTTTGTAACAATTTGAATGGGGCAAGAAGCCTCCTGGTTTTCAAGCCCTTCTTGCCCTCTGCCTGGAAACAGACTTGGGGCTGTGTGTGTGTGTGGGGGCACAGTGGGAGTGACACTGGCTCTTCCATTTGCGTGGGAGCTGAGTGAGGCATGTGACTGCCAGCTTTTCCCTACTTCCCTGACAACCTGCGTGACTCAACAGAGGCAGCCATAATCCTCCCAGGTACACAACTCTAGTGACCTGGGAATCTCTTCCCCATTCCCCACAGCAGCCACAGCAAGTCCAGTCCAAGGAGAGCCTGAGCTCAGACACGCCTAGCCTGGCCTCTACCTGATGGTCCTTCCCTACCCACCTTGGTAGTGGAAGACAAAGGGCGTATAATCTTAGGAGTTCTAGGGCCCCACCCACCACCAGTCCCTGTCTACACTACTACAGCTGATGCTTTCTGGAAAGTACCACTTTCTAACAGGAAGTTAACCAGCACAAAAATAGAGCATTAAACCACCAAAGCTAAGGATCCTCATGGAGTCCATTGCACCATCTGCCACCTCCACCAGAACAGGCTCTGGTATCCATGGCTGAGAGACCCATAGATGATTCATATCACAGGACTCTGTGCAGACAACCCTCAGTACCAGCCTGGAGCCAGGTAGACTAGCTGGGAGGCTAGACCCCAAAGAGAGACAAGAGTCACTGCAGTTTGGCTCACAGGAAGCCACATTCATAGGAAAAGAGGGAGAGTACTACAACAAGGGAACACCTTGTGGGACAAAAGAATCTGAACAACAGCTTTCAGCCCTAGACTTTACCTCTGACAGAGCCTACCCGAATGAGAAGGAACCAGAAAACCAACCCTGGTAATATAACAAAACAAAGCTCTTCAACCCGCTCCCCTCACTGACCGCATCAACACACACACACCAAATCACACTGGTTTACCAGCAATGGATCCAAACCAAGAAGAAATCCCTGATTGATCTGAAAGAGAATTCAGGAGGTTCGTTATTAAGCTAATCAGGGAGGGACCAGAGAAAGGCGAAGCCCAATGAAAGGAAATTAAAAAACAATGATACAAGAAGTGAAGGGGGAAATAGTCATGGAAATAGACAGCTGGAAAAAAAAAAACAATAAAAACTTCTGGAAACTTTGGACGCACTTTTAGAAATGTGAAATACTCTGAAAGTGTCAGCAAACAGAATTGAACAAGTAGAAGAAAGAAATTCAGATCTCAGACAAGGTCTTCAATTAACCCAATCCAACAAAGACCAAGAAAAAAGAATAAGAAAATATAAACAAAATCTCCAAGAAGTTTGGAATTATGCCAAATGACCTGACCAAAGAATATTCATTATACCTGAGGAAGAAGAGAGTTCTAAAGTCCTGGAAAACATATCTGGGAGAATAATTGAGCAAACTTCCCTGGCCTTGCAAGAGACTTAGATATCCAAATACAAGAAGCACAATGAACATCTGGGAAATTCATTGCAAAAAAGATCTTCACCTAGGCACATTGTCATCAGGTTACTCAAAGTTAAGACAAAAGAAAGAATCTTAAAAGCTGTGAGACAAAAACTAGGTAACTTATGAAGGAAAACCTATCAGATTAACAGCAGATTTTTCAGCAGAAACCCTACAAGCTAAAAAGGATTGGGGCCCTATCTTCAGCTGTCTCAAACAAAACATTTATTAGCCAAGAATTTTGTATCCAGGGAAGCTAAGCATCATATATGAAGAAAAGATACAATCATTTTCAGACAAACAAATGCTGACAGAATTCACTTTTACCGAACCAGCATTACAAGAACTGTGAAAAGGAGCTCTAAATCTTGAAAAAAAATCCTGGAATCACATCAAAACAGAACCTCATTAAAGCATAAGTCACATAGGACCTATAAAACACATCCCATGCTCTTAGATGGGCAGAATCAATATTCTGAAAATGACCATACTGCCAAAAGCAATCTACAAATTCAGTGCAATCCCCAACAGATTACCACTATCATTCTTCATAGAAATAGTAAAAACAATTCTATAATTCATATGGAACCAAAAAGCCCACATACCCAAAACAAGACTAAGCAAGAACAACTCTGGAGGCATCACTCTACCTGATTTCAAACTATGCT